GTGTAGAGCTGGTCCAGTGTTCCACGACCAGGACGAAAACCACACTGCTCTTCCTGAATCCGAGGTTCGACTATCCGATATTCATATGTTTATTAATATGGCTAGAACTGAAAATACAGATGTTGTGCTTGTTTCTTTTCCCGTTGGTGCAGTGTGATCTTTGCAGATTGACTCTGGAGCCATTAAGGTGTCTGGCAAAAATGGGATTAAATCTAGTTTTGGCAGATGGCCGTGCGCACGCTGCCGCCATGCGTAGCCAGTGTAAATGTTTCATTGATTATAATGGTTGTGTATTTATGTCTGACCGGAGCAGAACTGCATCCAGTGTAAATTGGGGCTAGAGTAGCAGGCCCACTTTCCATCTCAGCTTTCTAGAGATGTGATAAATGTCTCTAAAGGGTTCCGGAGGAGCTGTTTGTTTCATAGTTTGTTTCACGTTCAATTTTGAACTATTTACCTCATCATGTACAGAGTACATAAAGATGTCACCATGGTAGGTGGACATGTGTTTTGTCAAGCAGAACCCCCCCCGAGCTGCTATATTCCACTGCTCTGCCTGTTTTCTGTGAAAAATCAAAGCAGGAGTGATTGTCTCTGTGTTTAAGGAGGAAAACATAAAGATTATATGAGGAATGAAAAACTACAAACGGCTCTTTACTGCCTGCGACTGGGCTCCAATCAGTCGTAAGGAGCTGTTCAAAAGAGTCGGCCCATTCATGAACATCACCTCTCTACAGCTTTCTTTTTCTGTTTTTCTTTAGCCTTCCACCAGTCCTTGTGCTTTCYTCTTTGAGCTCTCTTACTCAGGTCATTGATTGATTTCGTTTTCCCTGCTTCTTTATCTCTGTTTCATCCCTCACACTCTTTCCTGGGGCATTCCTCTCTGTCAATCTACATTTCTTCTCTCTCAATCTGAAAATATTGATCATGAAATAACACTTAAGAGAAAACACTTCAACCCCTGTGACAATCAGTGGTTTTTGTTATGGGGTTGAACATTGTAGGATTTCAGCTAAAAGCATGGCAAGCTACAGGGTTGAACAAAACTGGGGGACGTGATTAAAAAGTTCTATTTTATAAATAATTCATGTATTTTTCTCATATTTATTTCATTTAGGTTAAAGCATAACAGTAGTTGTTTATACTGTATTAGTAGAAATAACTTATTGTTCTTATAACTTATATTCTGAATACTTATTATTATTGTTTTTGTTACTTTGTTGTGGTGAATGTAACAGGTCTCTCTTGTAAGAGACAATGAGTCTCAAGAGATCTTCCTGTATAAATAAAATAAAAAATAAAATAACTTGCAGAAATAACTTATTGTTCTTATAACTTATATTCTGAATACTTATTATTATTGTTTTTGTTACTTTGTTGTGGTGAGTGTAACAGGTCTCTCTTGTAAGAGACAATGAGTCTCAAGAGATCTTCCTGTATAAATAAAATAAAAAATAAAATAACTTGCAGTTACAGGCTATTTTTTATTTGTTTTATTTTCACTGGAAAAATAACATCGGTCAGTGGGGACATGCTCATTTGGCTGACATGCCTCAAAAACCCCATACATTAAAAAAAAAAACATTTTTATGTATTTGTGCGTTATATTGCAAAGACTCGTGGATATTTCCATTTCTTGTTTTWAAATAAATTTTGTGGTTTAATTTATATGAAAGTCTTTGAGGTAAACCTGAGAGACACATATAATTKAGATGACTCAGCTAACAATGCTGTCTGTAGAGTTGTTATTGTTGCTGACATGATAATGTTCACGGACCTCTGAGAGTTTTCTTAGCACACCATTATTTAATTTCAGCACTTGGTTCAATTCTCCTACAAATTCAGACTCAGAAACTTTTTCTGCATGAAGAGCAGTCCTCGCCCTGTTCAAGATGGCTACACGACAGGTCACGTGACAGCGCCTCTTTTGGAAGAGGGTGGGTCACCTCCGCTACGCCCACTTCCGACAAGCAGGAAGCCGATATAACAACATGGGCACGTGGTGTCTTTTATAGACTTGGCTCTCAGTCGAGGAAGTAGCTCCTACCGTTACTTCATGTCGGCCGGTCGAGAAAGGTAAGCCTGAATTTACTCCTCATCTCACAGCCAGGGTTAAACACRAAGAACAAAGCGAGTGGTTGAGGCACACATAGTGATTTCTGGACCACTCAGTCAATGTGAAGCGATTGTGTTGATGTTATTTAGTGTTTGTAATCATTAGAAGCGCTCTCTGCTGGCCAACCTTTAACACTGCAGCTGCATGAAAGAATGCGGGACAAGCCGTGTCGTGAACCCACGGAAACGGATTAAGGCCTCAGAACAAACAAATACACTGCCCGGTAAAAAAAACAAAAACAGTCTCCACCTGGGTTTAACTAAGGTTTATGATGTGGGGTTGCTGCAGCTGGTCAGGTCTAGGTTCAGCAACAGTTTGTGCTCCAAGAATGAGGTCAGCTGACTATACAGAAGGACCAGGTTATTCCATCAATGTTTCTTCCCTGATGGAACAGGCATGTGCCAGGATTCATCTGGCTGAGATTGTGAAAGAGTGGTTCAGGGAGCATGAGACATCATTTTCACACAAGGATTGGCTCCACAGAGTCCTCTGTGAATCTTTGGGATGTGCTGGAGAAGGCTTTGTGCAGCAGTCAGTCTCTACCATCATCAATGCAAGATTTTGGTGAAGAATTAATGCAACACTGGATGGAAAATAAATCTTGTGACACTGCAGAAGCTTTCAGAAACAATGTCACAGTGAATGTGTGCCGTAATCAAAGATAAAGGCGGTCCAACGACATATTAGAGTGTGTGAACTGTTTTTTGTGCAGTGTATTTGTCCTGGAGTTATGTCTTTGTTCTGAGGCCCAATCCTCTCCTGTAAGAACCAGTGAGGCTCTCTTCTGTATAATGAGGGCCACAGTTCTACATGTTTGACTGTTTTCTTTAAAAAGGAACACTAAAATATTACAGTACAGTGTGGCTGTGCCATTATAAAATACTGTCTGTAATGAAGACAGGTGCTGCTCAGTGAAGCAGTCCTGGTATAATTTATATCAGCCTGGAGCTTATTGTTGATGATAGTTGGGTTTAACTAAATACTGCCTAAGAACAAAAGTTTTGTAACAATCTGATTTCATGTTGTCTGTCATTGTGTCCTTARTTTGTTTAATAAGTTTTTATCATCAGGCTGTGCTCCTGATGCTGTTAAACATGTGATTGTGCAGCCTCGTTTTGAGAAAGAAAAACCTTGACCCTACTGTCCAACTACAGGCCAGRATGTATTGTAAACTGTCTTCTCTTCAAAGTTCTGGAGGAAGTTGTTTCTATTCAACTCCTAAAGGTTAGATTTTGCCACAGCACAGAGACGACACTTTTCAGAGGTTTTAATGACTTTCTTTTAACAGTAGACTCAGGGAGCTCTGCCATTTTAGTGCTATTATCAGCAACCTTTGATACTATAGACCACAACATTTAGTTATTCTGGCATGAACATGATAGTATTAAAGGTACAGTCCATACCTCACTGGCAGGAGTTTTTCTGTCAATTTAGAGAAGCTTGGATTATACTCAAGAGGATCATTGGCTGTCCTCTCCCCTCCCTCACGGACATTCATACATCACTTTTTCAGCTGAGCCGATCACCAGGGACAGCTCCCACCCAGGGTCCGAACTGTTTGACTGGTTGCCCTCAGGAAAACGTTACAGGTGCACCAGAACAAGGACAAACTGATTCAAGAACAYCTTTCCCCCCGAAAGCCATCACTTTACTGAACTCTCGCATGCACTGACTCTTGATTTACAATCAGCTAGAAACTCACTCTGTGGAATAAATACACATTGAAGGACACGTCACTTTATTTTGTTAATGATCACCTGCAATTCTAGCCTGGCCCTTGCCTTCCTACGCAGCTCCGCTCAATTCTAGTTTCCCTTCACTGCTCCGTCTGGGACTTCTCCCATTGAGATGGATTTCTCTGGCAGATTTTTAGCCGGGCCAATCAGAGAACAGAAGGAGGAGCTTTGAACGACGTCGACTTTCTGCGCAGTGTCTGCTAGTTATTTTAGCATACGGCAGTGGAGGAACAGAATGAAGCCAGTCRGTGTTGATAAGGCTTCCAAATAAAATAAATTTGTCTGACAAAGCAGCAGCTCTCATTTACAGTCGTCTCGTTCAGCTCGGTACTTCTCTCCTCTCCGTAGGGTTGTTTACAACACACGCTATTTCCGGTTAGCTTCTTAGCTTAGCCTCCGTCACAGCGAAATACGTCGCAGCCAACTGATCCAATCATTTTAAACTTCAGCAGAGGCCACGCCTCCTGCAAGAATCACTTTATGCATCAAGTCCAGACCCTTGTACAAAGCAAAGTGAAGGACAGGGTCTGGTTTAAACCAGGCTACTGCAATACCAGCATAATCCATATACCTCAATATACAAACTGTGCAATATTTAAACAATATGCAGTAATGTCATTTTATTTTCTTCTACTTTAGCTTTACATTTACAGTTGACTCTTACTATGCTTTTTTATTGTTGTATATATGTAGGTATATGCATACATATACATGTGTATATATTAAGGCTGCCTCAAACGATTATTTTTATAATCGATTAATCACCGATTATTTTTTCGATTAGTTGACTAATCGGATCATACGTTAATTGAATATAAAACATACAGCTTATCACACCAGAATGCAGCTGCTATTTTAAAACCATTGTTAGATTTTAGCTATATGCTAACTAAAAATAATTGCCGTGGAAGACAAGTTCTGCTCTGCAGATATTYCACAGGTTTCTCTTTCATTTTCTTAAAATGTTCCCACACTTGAGCTCCGATMCTGGGTAGCCATGATACCAGAGCCTGACTGTGTAATGTCTTGTGACGTCCACAGCCTACCCCAGTTACCACTACTGTGCATGTGTGTCAAGGACAGAAAGGCAGATGTGGCAGTGGAAGGTGTCAAAGCAGTTTGGAGAGAAAAACAAAGGAACAAAAAAAAGAAAAGAAAACGATTAATCGATTTATTAAATTGGTCATTGATAATTTTAATAATCGACTAATCGTGGCAGCCCTAGTATATACAATATACATGCAGATGTATAGACATATTTTATCTCATTTTATTATTTTGCTCTATTATTGTTTTCTGTTTCTTTTAATGTGTATTTGCACTGCTGTGGGAGTGGCTCTAATCTCGTTATGCAGAAAATAATGAACTTTATCACAAAATGCTAATTTTTTGAGAAGGACCTGTATATAGGGTTAGACCAGTCATTCTTGTAGTGTTTACAAATASTTCAAAATGCTGCAGCTCYTATTTTAACTGGTACAAAAAGCATGAAAACATCACTCCAGTCTTAAGATCTCTGTATTGGATACATTTTACATACATTTTACTGTATTGYTGCTGATTTTACTTATTTAACTGTGTGATTTTATTGTGTTTTTTGTATTCAGTTTTTGTTTCATYTGTTCAGCAGTGGCTGATGTTATAGTGCWTTATAAATAAAGTTTGATTGATTGATTTGACATGTTCATCTTCATGTTGATTTTAAAAACTGCTCACTTTTAAAGTTTTAAATGGGTTAGCCCCATCTTATCCATGTGATCTTCTCAACACCTGTAAGAGAACTCTGGTCAACCYGACAGTTTCTGCTCAACGTTTTGAGTTCAAGGTTTAAACGTTGAGGTGATTTATTTGTCATGGCCGCCCCAACACTTTGGATTAGCTTACCTTCACCTGTGCGTTCCGCTCAGACTATACAATCYTTTAAATATCAGCTAAAAACCRGCCCCTTTTCTCTGGCCTACGACTGATTAGGTATGAGACGCTAAATTTTTAGTTTTAAGTCTTTACTCTGAGGTTTATTTATTACTGTTTTTATTCAGTCTATTGTTMAATGATTACAAATTTAACAGTGAAGCACTTTGGTCAACAGATATTTTTAAATGTGCTATATACATTTGACAGTGACATTGACATCTTTATTGTAATMATCTGTATTATATTTAAGTAAATCATAGCAGTAACTGTAGCGTAGTTTTGCTACAGTTTATGAAAAACACTCAGGATTTGAACTCAGTTCTCCCACATGTGATGAATGCTCCACGCCCATCAGATCAACTTTGTTGCTCCTATTTATCTGTAAACATGGACTAAAGTTCACAAGTCACGTGATGTTTGGTGCAAATGAAGTGGCGTTCTGCTTCATTTGCTTGAAACGGTGTCAAGCGGGAAGCATCGAGCGTATCATCACTGATTACCGGTGTTAGGAATATTTGTTGGCGTCACATTAACTAGTTTACAGCTGGTGAGCAGATTCTTGTTKGATTTTGTCCTGTTTTAATAATAATTGAAGTATGATGTAATTCAGACTGGTGAACATATTTAATCTTCCCCACAATATTTGGTAGCTATGGTGTAGATTATTTTGAAATGACAGGTAGACTGTTTGTGATGAAATATGAAGCAACTTGTGGTTTTTGCTTCTGCTTTTATTTTTGCATAAGTCATTGTTTGTTGAGTTTGGCTTTGGTCCCTGTGGGGAACTATTGTAGCTTTGACTCAAGCTTTGAGATTAGTGAGACATCCTCAGTTATGTGATCGCTAATAGAGGTTTGTTTGTTTTTTGCATAGTTTGTTGTTTAAAAAAATTAGCTTGTGAAATAAAACTGAGTTTAACTACTTAACTTTTTTATACAAGGGGGAACCTTTTATTTAAAGTAACACCAAGAGCATTTTGTGTATAAACAGTTGCTTAATGATGACAGTGACAAACCTGCTTGATTGAAATCTTAGTTAAATTCTAGATTTTCATTTCATTTTTACCTTTTTATTTTGTTTACAGAAGAGCTTTTGTTCAGGTTGCTGTGTCAGATCCTGTCATGAGTGTCACCGCCCTCTTTCTGCTGAGCTGTCTCGCCATTACGGCTCAAGGTGAGTTCAGCTTGGGACACGGATCATGTGTTACCTGCCTGATAATAGGAACGGTCTATGGGGAAGAAACTGAATTTAAATAGCTCAGACTGAATCTGTWTTTGCATACTTTGAAATTAAATGCAGTAGTTTGAAAATGAAATTCACCTAATTGAAACTGAGTTTAATGGGTAGAAATTGTATTTTGTTGTATTAAAAATGCAGTTTGATAACTTGCACTTTCAGTTCTAAATTTTTTTTTGCGTCACACATTTTGGTTCGTGTGAAATCRACAGAGTAATCAAACACAGATCAGCAGATTTACGGTTCATCAGTGAAGCTTCCTTCCTGTAATGTAGGCGTTCAGTCTAAAGGAAGCAGTAATCYGCATCAACAGATGTTTGATAATTGTCATAAATGTATGATAAATAATTTTTAAAATTCTCATAATGTTTGATAATTTGACCGTTTCAATGCATGACTGAATTAACATACGGCTGTCTGACATAAGAGCTGGTGGATTGCAGAACGCATTGTAGTGGTCACCTCGAGGTGGAATAAACCGTTCCACCTGTCTTTGACCTTGGTCTCAGAAGACTGATTAAAAAAAATATATAGCGACTTTGTCACTGCATTAGTGAGTAACCCTTTAGTGACTGTTTTTCAGAAAAGRGACTAGTGAAAATCTAGCGACTCATTTTTCTGGTGTTGTTGAGACTTTTAGAGGCTCAGGTGAACGCAGCTCTCTGATGCTGTGAGCTCCTCCCCTGTCCTAAAGCACCGACAGGCAGCTCAGTCCTCACACAGCGTCCCTACCAGCTGCAGGCAGATATTCATGCCATCCAGACGACAAAAACACAACATGAACTCGAACTCATGATTGGGCTGCTCAAGCCGCCAGTTAAAGCAAAAACAAACTGGTTTTGTTGTTCTCATAACTCCGTAAATGAATGAATGTCTGGTTCTCGTTTTGCGCACTGGAAATATGGAACCGGGGTGGGGGGAGGACTAGTGGTCTGTCATGGAAGCCTGCAAACACTTTTACAGAAAATTGTGGATATGGCTGTGTCTCAATGCCAGGGTTCCAGCCGACGTCGGTCGCATTTGTCAACCGCTTGCGTCACCGCCCCGTGCCGTAGGCCGTCCCAGATCGTAGGCGCCTACTCYTGTAGCRGACAAAACCCCGAAAACATCGACTGCATCTGAGTGTCCTACGGAGCCGACGGTATCCCAGAATCCCATTGCGCCATCAGCAAATTAAACATAAAAACGARGGCAAAGTTTTTTTAAAATGGCAGTTTGGAAATTTATCATGGACTAAAAAATTTGAGCTAAACAACTTYGCTGAAGACACTTTTGTTGCAATGAGATGTTAAAATGCAGTTACAAGTACTGATACTGAAGCTAAACCCAAATTATGAATGCATTTTAGTTATTTCCATGTTAACCTTTCTGTTAAAACTGAATTCTGTGAAATTATACTTAAAAAAAAAACAACTGAAACTATGTGATATAAAACGTACACCATGAGGCAGAGCGTGGTCACGCAAACTTACATCTTCTGTAGACTAGACCGTCTCATTTCACAGCCGTTTATGCGGCCGACATGAGCGGCCTACGGCCCACGTAGACCGTGGCCATTCTCAGTCACGATCTYCATCGGCTGGAAGCCATGAATTGAGACACAGCCAGTATCTTTGCGCAGCTGGTCCACATGTAAGGCAGTATCTCCTCAAAAAGCTCATTCTTCCCACAAAGTCCCTCGTAATGGTTATTGTAAATTACTGTTTTGCTTAGCTTGCTGTGTATTGTTTTCGTCAGCGTGATTTTCCACTATTTTGACAATTCTAAATCTGTTATTATTCTAAATCTGTTWTTTTTTTTTTACAGTTACAGGTCACAGCCTATGTTTTTCTCTGTAAAATGTGTTTTTGTTTTAGGTCAAAATTGTTCTAAACCTGTTGGAGGACCCAACATGAATTTGAAGGGCGATGCCATTCTGCAAGATACATTTCCAGATGGTTCTAAGGTTTCTTTTGCCTGTAATATTGGCTACACACCTGCAGGAGGGTCTCCAACCATTACGTGTACTGCAGGGAATTGGAGTACTCTGACGCTAGTTTGTGAAAGTAAATTTACCACTTGATTAATTTCATATTTCAATTTTGCAAATAGTAGTAAGAACATTATTTCTTTTGAAGATTAAAAACAGCAGTATTCTTAAAACAAATGCATTTATTTTTACAAACTCTAATCCAGAAAAGTTAGACACTGTAAAATGTAAAAACAAACTCAACGCATTTATTTGCAAATTTCAATAATTCATATCTTAGGGAAAATTTAGGTTATTTGAAATTTGATTAATTTAATCCCAAAATTGTTATAGCCGCTTCAGGGACGATAAAACTTTTCATTTAAATTCTAAATTCAAACCCTCAAGTAAATATCTTGTTTACATAAGTGATACTAAATATAACTGAATACCTTTATGACCATTTTTTATTGTATTTTTATTAGCATGTATTCAGTAATTTATAAAGAGTTTTCTTGTTCCAGGGAAAAGCTGTGGTGCTCTTCAAGAAGTGGAAAATGGAAATATTGACTACCCCAATGGGGACGTTCTGTTTGGTGACACAGCTGTGGTCACATGTAACCAAGGGTTAGTAACAAGTGATAAATTAGATATTTATGTTCAGAAAGATCTTTTGTTATTGAGTGTTTATGTTCGACCAATTATTATCAACAGGCACAACAGTCCTAACATCTTCCATTGTTCTTCCTTGCTTTATACTTTACTTTCAAAGATGCAGCTTTTTCTAGTAATATTTTGAAATATTATAAAGCAATATTTTTTCATATTTTGTGGCAGTATTTTAATATTTTAATTTGGACTCTAATTGCTTTTTACCTATCTGAACATTTTCAGACCCACCCCCCCATTTTTAAGACATCATCTGGTCATTTACAGAACATGCCTACAACTTTTAATATTTCAACATATTATTTAACATGCTTATGAGTTATTCATTTCATTTAAACCAATTTTGTGCAAATGCATTACATAGAATTTAGATTAAACACATTTAACTACAGGTCATAATGTAAAAACACCCAAATTGCCAAGTGGGTGAATACTTTTGCAAGGCATTGTACTTATAGTTTACTGTGCATTTTTGTCTTTTAGTGTTAACTGAAGTATCGTGTGCCTTTTCTTAAACCCTCTCTCTTTAGTTACATATTAGTTGGTAACAGAGTAATCAGATGTGGAGACCAAGGATGGATGGACAGGCTACCTGTGTGTGAAGGTTGGTGATTGTTTGTTTGCTCACTATTAGGTATTCAATATTCACCTGAAATCTAATTGACTTGATTTTGTTCTGCAGTGGTGAAATGCCCTACACCTGGATTAATTGCCAATGGCACTTTTAGCCCACAGAAGGAAACCTATAATTACAGAGATGTTGTACTTTACTCTTGTAAAACTGGGTTTACACTTAATGGATCAAAAGAGTCTGTATGTTCTGAAGACGAGAAATTCAACCCTGAACCTCCAACATGTGTCTGTAAGTGTTTCAGTCTGAACATTTTTAATATTTGCAGAACGTAGTCTTTATTTTACATTTGGACTTGTCTTTTTGCCTGCAGGGGTCGAATGTAAAGATCCTGTGATACTAAATGCTGAGTTTGTTGAGGGGTCTCGACCTCCACACACATTTGGATCWACAGTTCAGTACATTTGTAAACCTGGATACAACATGACCGGAGATGCTACCATAAAATGTGACATAAACAGCCAGTGGTCACCTAGAATCCCAGAATGCAAAGGTAAGTCCTAACTCAGAATAATTAATGATGCGGCATGTGTTTAGCCTAATAAGACCATGCCAAGTAATATCTGTGGATTTTATTTTTCTAGATGTAAACAGCATGACTCAAAAAATTACTAAATTAGAATTTTTTTAAATATAGACAAATTTTTTTAAAAACAATTCTGTAACGTAGTTTGAACATGTTTTTTTTTAGTTGATATATTCAAATCGAAAGTGAAAATCTCTTAATTTTTAATTTGAAACACTTGTACAAAAAATAGTTAAAAAGATAATATACTGTGGTAGATAATTAGTTACTATCCAGGTGCCCGCGCAACCTTGCTGCGGAGCCTCTAGCGCTGGCTTTGAGCGTTGCATCCTGGGGTGGCTGGTCTTGTTTGAAAGCTCCGGTTCTGCCGTACAAGATGAAAGTTGAATGAAGTCCTGCGATGGTCCCCCACAGAGATATAAGCGAAAAACCTCCAAAATTACGCACCATCTGATCTCTTGCTGGGGTGGTTTTAGCCCCCCCCCCCGGGCTAAGAGCGTCGGACCCCGGCGTGGATGGTCGGTTTTTAAAGTCCTAGCTCTCCCCTATAAGGAGAAAGTTGAGAGGAGTCCCTGCGACGTTTTCCCGCGGAGATATAAATGAAAAACCTCCAAAATTACACACTGTCGGACCTCCGCCGGGGGTGGTTTTAGCCCCCCTCCCCACGCTAGGAGCGTCGGATCCCGGAGTGGCTGGTCGGGTTTTAAAGCTCTGGTTCTGCCCTACAAGCTGATACTTGAATGGAGTACGTGTGACGTTGCCCCACGGAACTATAAGCAAATTACGCACGACTTAGTGCATTTTACGCGCATTTTTGGGAAGAAATTTCAACCTTTGTTTGCTTCTCCTGTGGGCTCTGAGCATCGAATCCAGGAAAGTGAGATGACTTTAGAAAGCTGGAATCCTCCTGTACAAACTGGAAGTAGTTGCAAGTTCCTGGGACGTCCCCCTGCGGAGCTATTAACCAACGACAGGCTGAAAAAGGCGCTTTGGCGGGCGAAATAGTACTCAATTTACTCCGGAGCCTCTAGCGCCGGCTCTGAGCATCGGATCCGGACGGGAGATAGCTCATTTTAATGTTCTGGATCTTCGCTACAACCTGGATGTGGTTGCAAGTTACTGGGACATTCCCACGCTGAGATATAAGCGATTTAAATATAGTCAGGTGAGCTCCGGCAGGTGAAATGGCTGATTTCCAGCATGGGGCTGCTTGTGCTGATGCAGGGGAATAAAAGTAAGAGATCCAGTGAGTGAGGTGGAACCGTGATCCTACATCCAACACCCGCTCTCCCACCTGGATTCAGCCAGAAACCCCTGGTGGCTGATATTTCTGCAGAAATGCATAAAATTCAGAAACCCAACTGATGGATCACTTCCAGGCAATAAAAGGAACAGATTTGGTCAGGTYAAARRGGTCCTGGAAGCTCAGCACCGGGTTTTATAACAGCCTGCCCCCTGAACCACTGGTGGGCGATATTTCTGCAATAATGCATAAAATTCAGAAACCCACCTGATAGATCTGTTCCAGGCAATAAAAGGAACAGGTCTGATCAGGTGAAACTGATCCTGGAAGCTCAGCACCGGGTTTTATAGCCGCCTCCGAGAGAATTTTATATTGTGTGCTTTGATTTTGAAAAAAAAAAAGGGGGCGGCACTCTTGTGGTAGCCATGTTGACCCTGATAGTTTTTTGTTTTGTTTTTCCTCCCCTGCATGGAGGGAAGAGAGGAGAGTTCTTTGAATAAATGGAGACGAGTTCCCATGCTCCAAAGTTATTTTACTCTGTGGTTCTCAGTGTGCAGGTTTCTAGCCCTCATAGCTCGCACGTTACAGGGAGTACTAATTGAAGGAGGTAAAAAWTTTTTATCCTTTTTGTTCAAGCATCACTTTTATGTTTCTCTGTCAGGAGTTAAGGATTTTATCTCTTCTTTTTTTGTAGGTAAATATATGGTTAAGTAGATAGTTTTGTTTGACAATACTTTAAATTAAATAAAACTAGCAACACATTAGGTTCTGTTTTATTTACTTTAAAGAAGTGAGGAGTAGGGAGACCATTTTATGTTTTTTTGATACTGAGACCGGACGAGTAGCTCTCGGCAAACTGCCGACTTCAAAAGTAGCTCTTGGTTCAAAAAAGGTTGGGCACCCCTGCCCAAAACCATTCTGATTCCCCATCACATGGGCCACAACCTGTTATTGCTTTCAATAAAATCTGTTTAAAAATAATACCAATAATAACCAAAATATAAGTTTGCCTACATTGGGGTACTTCAAAATCAAAACCCTTACCAATACACTCCCTACATGCATACAGTACATGCATTGGCCTGGATAGCTCAATCAGGAGACCTCTGGCTTGAAAACGGGGCGGCCAGGGTTTGATTCCTGCTACAGAAATGTGTTTTCATTTCTCTGGCCTAAATTTTCTCATTGAAAATACTTTGAAATGTACGTTAGTAATGTCACACCAAGGTCATTTCAAGGTCATCGAAAAAATGGTTTGTTCACCTATGGGTTCTTATCTTATTTATACATGTTAAGTGCATGTTACATTTGTTGTTACACATCTTTTGTTTGAAACTTTGTAATAAATTACATCTGCAATACATAGTTAGTTGTTAAATGTGTTTCTCTTTTAACCTGGGCTTAGCCAAGTACTCTTAGGCCACTGTCAGATTCACTTGGTTTTGGAACTCCACATCTAATAGTTTTCCAAGACAGACTTTAGCCATTCCAACACATTATTATGGTTAGAAGACTTCAGTATTACAGAAACAAACATTGGGCAATCATYGGACTACCCAGGCAGCGCCGGGTACCCCAGCTAGTTAATAATATTAATCAAGTTCCAAAAAATATTTGGTTAAAGTTTTTCTGATGATTGAGAAGAACCAAGAATAAAATCCAAGGAATGGTCTATAGACCTCTGAGACAGGATTGTCTCAAGGCACAGATCTGGGGATGGGCACAAAAATGTTGCTGCTGCTTTGAAGGTTCCAATGAGCACTGTGACCTCCATCATCATGTAAACGGAAAAAGTTTGGAACCACCAGGACTCGTKCTAAAGTTGGTCAGTCGTCTAAACTGAGCGATCGGGGAGAAGGGTCTTAGGGAGGTGACAAAGAACCTGATGTTCCTCTGTGGAAGTAGAACCTCCCAGAAGGGCAACTATCTGCATCAATCCACAAATCAGGCCTGTATGGTAGAGTGGCCAGATGGAATCCACTCCTAAAGGAAAGGCACATGAAGAGACCTCAGACCATGAGAAATAAAATTCTTTGTTCTGATGAGATAAAGATTGATTTCTTTGGTGTGAAAACAAAGAGTCACGTTTGGTGGAAACCAGGCACCGCTCATCACCAGGTCAATACCAACAATACGGTGAAGCATTGTGGTGGCAGCATCGAGCTTTGAGAATGTTTTTCAGCAGCAGGACTTTTGAAACTAGACAGAGGGAAAGATGACTGCAGCAATGTACAGAAACATTCTGGGTGAAAACCTACTCCAGAGCACCGTTGACCTCGGACTCATCTTTCATCAGGACAACTATCTGAAGAACACAACAAAGATATCAAAGAAGTAATTTCAGGAAAACTCGGTAAAGGTCCTTGAGTCGCTCAGGCAGATCCCAGACATGAATCCAAATGAAAATCACTGGAGAGATCTGAAAATGTCTGTGCACTTACCCGTCTATCAAACCTGATGGAGTTGAGAGATGCTGCAAAGAGGAATGGGACAAACTGTTGATTCCAAATCAATATAATATTGTCTCCTGATAAAGCTGTTGATTTACACCTCTAGACAAGACATCGCTGGATTAATTGGTTCTTGTTCCATCCACTTCTCAGAGCGTATGGATTGTGTAACTTACCTTGGTAGAAATTGAGTTAGTAATTTCTCTGATTTTCTCTGCAAAATGTGTTTTTGTTTTAGGTCAAAATTGTTCTAAACCTGTTGGAGGACCCAACATGAGTTTGAAGGGCGATGCCATTCTGCAAGATACATTTACACATGGCTCAAATGTTTCTTTTGCCTGTGATTCTGGCTACACACCTGCAGGAGGGTCTTCAACCATTACGTGTACTGCAGGGAAATGGAGTACTCTGACGCTAGTTTGTGAAAGTAAATTTACCACTTG